AAAGTAGGGAGAGGTGGCTCAGGGTATCAACTGGCACAAGCAACATACCTAGGTTCAGCCGCTGTCTGGAAGAGAATTCTAGTGGCTGGCAGGTCTGACCGGTAGTTTTCCGAGGTTTCTCTCAATAACAGGCGAATGCCGGATCAGTACCCAAATGTGCAATGGACCGCCCGCGATCTTTCCTTCCCTTTCCTTGTCCTGTATTCACCCCTTACACACACTTACATGCACTACACTATACATGCTGGAAAACCAGTCAGAGATTAGAGTTTGTCCCAGCTGGGGCGCTGCTCCGTTGGTGGGACAGACCTAGTTGGGGAAAATTCCACATGCGACAGATAGGTTGGCACCGTATCTCATCATTCAGCGGGGGAAGACAACGGCCACCTCCAGAGGAAAAAACAGACACTACGCTTACGGGAATAATGTATTTAGCAGTTGAGGTGTTTGGAATCATCAATCAATAGAATAAAATCTACTTTTCCGGTTAAGAACGACTGTGTGAATTGACGGAATCAGGGTACATTACGACCGTCCTGTGTCGTGCGCCGTTCTGCGATTATGCACCACATTACGCAACCAGAAACTTAGCCAGTGGAACGTCAGAATTGCAGCGCTACCTCCATTTGCAGATGAGGTTAATGACCTCTGGACTTCACAACAGCGCTTCCATTCTAGGTAATGGGCTTAAAGTTGTGGAGATATTCAGGTGGCAACGAAGTCGAAAAATTATAAAAAACACTTTCTACGGAAATCTACGCTTCTGAGGCCACAAGGTCGAATTCAAGTGCTGTGTGGAGGAGAATTCTAGCGGCCGATTGCTCTGATCGAAAGTTTCCCTTGGCTTCTCTGATCAAAACATGTCGGAGCAGTATTCTAACAAATGGACCATGGACCGTGCGCCATCTCTCCACCCTTTTTGTCGGCGCTGTATCTCACCATCCACCTGGCAAGAAATCACCGCCATTTCGCGAATAAACCATTCACTACACTAATGGCAATAATGACCATAGCAGTTGACGTACCCGGAAATATTAAACACTCAATCAATATGGAGGTACACCCAAAGTGTGCGCTGAAGAGGTAGTGATGCAAATATACTAGCTACCAAAGTAGTGCATTTGAAAACCCGTCAGGATGTCGTACACTTCGCGGGTTTGCATGGGAAGGTCTGATGCAGAGAGCAGAGCCACTATGCATACGCTGGCGTCGCCAACGATCATTCAGGAATCAAATAAAAAGGATAAATATTGATTATTTCTGTTTCTACTTTCACAAACTTGTGAAGAGTTGTATGAATATGTAGTTCCTTTTACAGACAAATAGGGGTAGATTAAAACATATGGACACATAAGCGTTTCACATTGCTCTCATTGGTTAGGGGGCTCCCCGTGAGCCGTTTTTTAACCTAAATTTTATTTTCAAAAATATAAAAATATTTTCGAACTTTTATTATGATTCCAATAATTACCTCCAAACAATGTAAGCTGTTAACGTGATTAACAGTATTACGAACTATTGTAATTTAAGTCCAATGTTTACTCTTTTAAGTCAATCAACATTTAGAATTTTGAAATAACGTTATTCAGAATCCCTACTCCCTTGCACGAGAGGACGTGCGTAATGTGGAAATGTATGTTAAATTAAGTTTAATAGTCGCCATTCCTCGCCTTTAATTGCACGGGTTTAAATCTACCTGTTTGTTAATTAATGTTTAGATACATTCGAATATTTATACACGCACAGTTCCATTAACGCACAGTTTACGTTCTGAGCGATTACAATTATTTAGATAGTGCGTAAATTTCGCATTGGTTCATCTAGTCCGTTATAGATGTCCTAAAGTCAGGATGCGAATTCACAAAAGGAATGCCCGAGATTATCCCTCCACCGAGTTGTATGTCCTTGCAGCAGCAGTACTAATTTCTCATTGATATGGACACAATTAACTCATATTAGCGCCTCACTTATGGCTTCCACATTCTAAAATATTAAAATCAAAGAATGCAAATGACAGAAGTTGGATAAGAAAACATTATCGAGAGCTTTTTGAATTCATTAAAACATAGGTTGCATAGGTGAAAATGGTATTCGTTTCATTATTCATTCTTTAATCCTTCTCTTCTAAAGATTTGAATGTCTGAAAAAAATTCACGCCGTGACTAAAATAATGTATTTTCTCGCCTTTTCTGCACACACATATTCTATACTTGTTAAGTTATGAATAAGATTCTTGAAAGAGCGTGGTAACTCTTTTAAATATCACTTTTTCATTTTCACTACGACAAATTAAATTATAACAATTCTAGAAGAAGAATTTATGGGCGTTATTATTGTGAGTTAATCAAAACAGCTAGCAATTCTGGGCGCTTTCCACGTAGAAGCAACGAACCTACAGTACGTGTCCACTCCTTGCAACAGGTTTAGCGAGGGACCAATGTCAGTCAATTTACATAACCGCTCCTACTCTGCATGCATGGGCAATGTACTCTCACTGAAGTCATGCCTGCTCAGCAACGCCACGGCTGAGCTCGCTCAGCAACAGCTGTTGCTACTGAAGCCACTCTGGCCAGGAGGTCGTAGAGTTCGAAACCGGACGGTGGCGGAATTTAACGAGTCCGGACTACATACTAGCTAGGCCGAATTCAGACGCTGTCTGGATGAGAAGTCTAGCGGCCTGACGCTCTGCCAAACTAAAGGGGCGCGGTTCGTGGGCGATCTACTCTTTGTCGTCCTTGCTCTATCACACTACTACACAAGAATCTGCCTAAGAATGAGCCAAAGTCACAGTTTGCTAAACTGAAGAACTTCACATGTAATTCAGAGAAGTATCCCTCCGCCGCGACACCCGTTCATCCACTCCTCTTCGTAAAGTGTTTATGTTTGTATATGGCTCCCGTTCAGACATCATGGCATCTCATGGTTCAGGGCCGTGTATTTATGTACAAAAATAAATTGATAAAACGCAAAGCACGGAACGTTCTCGATCACAGCTCGCCACCTTGTCGCACAGGACCAGGAAACTCGTGCGACAGCACGTGTCTGACATTCAAGACTCGGCTTTCAAATAACCATAATACTTATCGCTCAAAAAGTAAGTTCAAGGTGATATTTATAAAAGAAAACGAATTTATATAGAAGGGCACAGTAGCCGTGCACTTCTTAATTTCAATTATTTCTCGTGAGAACTATATTTCGTCGGGCGAGGACATCACAAAAGGAAGCGTCGAAGCCATTTACAAGTTAGCCAACTGCAAACGAACGAATGAAGGAAGGAGAGTCAAATGGGCTAAAGGACCGCAGAACCTTCAGTTATGTTGCCAGCACTAGATGTCAAAACGGTCCATTCGTATAAAAATCGTTCTATACACATGTCGGGAGACCTGTGGAGAGCGTAGAGTTAGTCGAAGTTTGATGGGTACCTCAAAGCAGGAAATTCCTGGAGAGGGAAATTCTCCTCAAGCGGCGCGTATCTCACCATCCATCGGGGAAGAACACCGATACATCCCGTGATAAAAACGTGCACTGACAAGTCTAATTATCACAGAAGTTGACGTACTAGAAAATCTATCCTAGAGGACAAACCTCCAAACATTTTAGAGAATAATTTTGTGTATTTGTGGTACGAAAATCGATGCCAACGGGATGTGAACGCAATATTTGAATAAGTGGCTGGGCAGTTACCAATATTTTATTATATTATTAGGAGCCACCATTATCGGATATTTGCTCGTTGGAACCCAGAAATACGACTACGTATTTTGATGATGTCGGCAAAGCCATCAAAATATGTTAGTAATGTAATGAACAAAAATGTTAATAATTACGCCTTTTATTCACGTATTTGGAACGCCAACAATATATCACTGATAAACCAATATTCGTAAGTCAGTTTTTAAAGCCTTACGACGCACCGTTTTCGAGTTATACATGACTGATATCAAGAAACAGACCGTTAAGCCAGCTGTGTGTTGCATTTGCGCCTGCCCATTTTAGATGCATTTTCTTAAACAGTGAAAGTGCAATTCGGGCGCTTCTCCGTGATATGCTGTTTCCTACTATACCTCATTTATCGAGATTGGTTGGGTATGAGAACAACGAAATTATCTATACTACAGAAATATTACACGTGATTCTCACGATTTGCCAAACGAAACAGCTCTCGTACTTTTGTACGCCAAGGGAATTCAATGCAAACGTGGCACAGCAGTACTTTCAGAACCTATGAAATGCAGTGAGAGAGATTTCAATAATCCTTCTCCCCGTCACGACGAGAGATATTATCAAGCCGGGTCGCGTGAAATTTGATTATTTAACATCCGAAACAAAATATCAACTTATGTGAAGTGTGAGTGGGGGACTACATACTCCACTTCGCCAGTTCGCCTGGCGACATCTTGCTGCAGAATAAGGAAGTGTGTATTTATAGCCAATAAAGCAGACCTTATTAAGTTAAGTGGTTATGGAGATTAGGATTTAATATCATGTTTTGGAATTCAATATGTTTTGGAAGTCCGTGAAATAAACCAAGTTTCATTTAGTTTCTGGTGACTTACAGTCGTTGCTTTCCCTCGTAAGATTTATTATATTTGATTTACTCCCCCCCCAAAAAAAAGTAAAAATCGTTTTTGTCGGGCGTGGGAGAGGTATTATTTTCTGAGTAATTCCGAAGGCTTGGATTGTTATGGACTTGGATAGAGAGGACGGGATAGCTAATGCAAGAATGCGTATGTGTGCACATATATGCACGTGTGAATGTATACGGATGTGCATGGATATGTGGGGGGTATGAAGTATACACGTGTGTCTTACTATGAGTGTACGTGCATGTGAGAGTGTGAGAGTGCGCGATCGAGTGTTTGTAAGCAAGACGGTGTGCCTATGTGTATGTGAGCGCATGCGTGTGTGTATGTACGCGAATGCAATGCTCTGTGTGTGCGTGAGTGCGTGGGTGCGCGGCGGCGTTGCGTGTGACTGCATGGGAGAGGGTGCGCACTCACGGAGCGGTACTTGCGCCAGAGCTGCTCCCTGCGCTCGACGGCGCCGGCGTCGGCCCAGCCGCCGTCCAGGGCGTCGGCCTCGTCTAGCTCCGCGCGGATCACGGCCAGCACCTTGCGCACCGCCGTCCCGGGCGTGGCGAACTCGCACAGCGAGCACTTCCACCGCGCCACCGCGTCTGCAACACACGCCCTTCACTCTATGCATGGGGTCCTATGGGGGGAAGTGGGCCCTCCTTTTCAGGGCGGCAGCGATTGGGTAACGGGTAGTTGCGGCGATGGAGTATCGGACTGTTATACCGTAGTTGGCGAGTTCAAGCCTGATCGAAGCTGTGGATTTTTGGGGGCGAAAAAATCCTTCGTATGCTGCCTTCTGAGGGGAAGTACAGCCGGGTCTCTCATGTTAATATATTTACTTGCAAGTAAAAGATCCTAAGCCTAAATGACGTCTCTGAGCTAAATTCAAATCGCCTGTTTTGCCCCCCAAGAAATGCCCCTTTTCTCTGCAAGTTGGTGAAAGGAGCGTAGCGAAATTTGTGTCGTCAGTCAGAAGAGCGGGTCTGATGGCCTGAGTCTCGCCACGTAAAATAAAGCATCAATTCAATTCCTTTTATTTATTATACACGCCTGGGGGTAAAGAGACATGTCTAGCCATAAAAACCGAGCCGATATATTAGAAAGCTCCATCTGCTCCGACCGGGTATCGAACACAGTAGAGCACCACAGAAAGATAGCATGCTGGCCATGAGTTCACCTGAGGGGCTGTTTTGTGTCGTCAATATCTATAAATTTGTATTAACGTTAGAAGAAATACCTCGACTGCAACATCACACACACACACACACACACACACACACACACACACAATACAAGCGCACTGACTTAATTTGATATCTGCGATTTAGGCTCGTGAAAAATCAATAATAACCATATGAGGGAGAAGTACACTCTGCTATTTCAGTTTTTTCAGTTCCAGAAAATTAACCCCACCTTTTTGCAAAATGCAAAGCTCAAAAAAAGTGCGCATAATGAAGCTTCATGGCTAGAAGAAAAACAAGGGTCTATGTCAACATTTGCTCCAGATGAAGACAAAGTGAATGAAAAATCTTATAGAGATGAGGGTCATTGATGCAGACGCTTAGCACCTCGTATCCGGGGTTTCACCGTAATATTTTTAACGACATTTTGTATTGTAGATATACTGAAGTTCGTGAGGTAAATTTAAATATTTTAGGTTGTCACAGTTTCGGAATAAATTATTCCTTTATCAGTACGTATTGCATCTACTCGTAATACCAACACAACCTCACTACTCCACATCATAATTACAACTATCTAGTACCTAGTTATAATGATTATTTTTGTTCATGTTTCAAAATTATAAGGAGTCCCCATTATTTGGTTTTACTTAACCCCTCTTTAAAGATTAATCCGGCCGTAGGGGTGCATTGCCTGGAGGCAGAACATATATATATGTGTGTATATATATTGTAAGATTTTTCTATCCACACAGTACATCTGATTTGTGCAGCGACTAATTATACTTTTTTGCACTTACTAACGTAAATAGAGAAAGTATTGTTATCGTGCGGCGGAAAACGACAAATTTTCGACACAAAAGCTTTTAAGGCCTGGCAAGGAAAAAGTATAAAAATAAACCCAATTCAGTATAAAAAAATCTTCCAGTATAAAAAAAGTATAAAAATAAACCCAGTTGCTAAGTATAGAGAAAAACCTCTAACACGTGGTGTATCCAGAAACCATGTTTTGTGGGTCCTTGATACCGAAACATCTTTGCTTCTTACATAACAATCGTCTCGTCGTACATAACAATAACATTCTAATAATGCGAGAATGTATGTGCTGTTGTAGAACCACTAGTTTTAAAAATGTATACTCCCGCCCTACCTGTTTGTGAATAATATCGTTATAAGTTATGTAATTTCTAATATTGCCGCTCATAATTTCGCAGCGACATTTGCAATAAATCATGCGTCAAAACTCGCTTTTCTGTTTAGCTAGAGTTCTGTTTGCGATTCGGTAAGACGCCCTCCAAAATGTGCGATCTTAAGAAAATTGTGTACGATACTGACGCTTCCGAGATGGCAGGGAACACACTACACATGCTCCACTTATGCCGCGACCGAGAACAAGACGTCCTTCAGAAAATGTGGAAAAAATGTGCGCGAAATTCCTGCATCAGACCGAAATGTCTCCGCAAAGACTATTGAAGCACTTATTGGGATAATAAAAAGTTTAGTGCATACAATTCTGACCGAAGATTTGCGCAAAAATGAATTCTGTGCAACTTCATTCCAAACACGCTCCCAGAAGATCATAAATTCGCAAGGGTTGAGCACGGCAAAGGCAGGATCGATACAGCTCAAAGTCAAACAAACATTGTAAGAAACTTTGTTTGTATGAGGCATGGTGCTTCCAATAAGAACCACTAACAAAGCGACGAAGTATGGAATGGTTGAGACCGGGGAAAAAATCCCTGACGGAAGTTCGCATGAAGAAAAAGTCTTGTGAAGTCTTTATTGAGAGTGATTTTCAATTCCAAGGGAACCATTTACAGAGAGTTTGTGGTGAAATATCAAACAGTAAACCCAAAATATTATTAAAGATATTAAAGCGTTTTTGGTCAAAGATTAGTCGCCTGAATACTGAGAACAAGGTTCTTGGGCGTTTCTGCATGACAATGCTCACAAGTCTAAGAAAGTCCGAGATTTTTGGCCATGAATTTCATCCTGCTTATTCTCAAGATCTTGCACCCAGTGACTATTGGTTGATTCCCTAATTGAAGGTGGCGATGAAAGGAAGTCATCACAACCCCACACAGGACATTGAAGAACGTTAACCGTGGTCTTACGTGCAATTTCAAAGAATGACTACAGGAAAGGCTTTGAACAGTTTTTAAATCGCCGTAAGCAGCGCGTTTAGTCAAATGAGAAGTATTTTTAATAATAATACAAAAATCAAAACGTGGTTGGTATTTTTCTATTTTTATGGAGCCAATCGCACGAGAATTTGGTCAGACTGTAATGTGCAATTATTATACGCTGCTATTTGTGTACCAATTTTGTCAACAAACTTGTCAGTTACTGCCGGATAATTTGATGAAATGTTTGAATCAAGAAAAACATCCGAATGGCGCAATTATATACAAAAAGGTTATTGAAAGTGCGTGTGTTAAAGGGGAAATTGGAGACAAGATGGTGGAAGGAAAGATCGCACGCAGACCCTGGGCCGTTTGTTGGGGTATTGCTGCGGCATTCGCCTAGTTTTGATCGGACAAAAAAAAAAAAAATTCGCCACCGTTGGAACTCGACGCTTCTCCTCCCTTTTTTAAAAATCTTTTCCTCGCTTCATCTTCCGCTTCTTCTGCTGTTGTTTTCCTTCTCCCTTTTCTTCATTTTCTCATGCTTATTTTATTATTCTCTTTCTTCCTTTCTATTTCCTCGTTTTCTTTCTTTTTCTTCCTTGTCTTCTTTCCCTCGTGTCCCGCAGCGAGTGTCGCTGCCTGAGCGAGCTCGATGTGTAAAGTTGAAGTGTAAAACATTGTGGGCCGCGCGTGCTCTACCGCGCAGAGCTGCGCCGCGTGCGTAGGAGACGGCACCCTCCGCGCGTGTGTCACGCTGAGCGCGTGCGTGGGGAGCCGCACGTGGCGCGCGGTCCCCGGGGGTCTCCGCCCCTCCGCCTCCGCGACCGCCGACGCGGGGCGGCGCGGGTATTTGCGGCGCGCCGCTTTTAGGCGCCGCTCGAGGGGAGGGGCCGCAGTGGGCCAGAACTACTCCTTCACCTCCCTTTCTTCTTTTCCTCACTTCATCTTCCGCTTTTCTCCTGTTGCTGCATCTTCTCCTTTGCCCTTCTCCCATTTCTTCTTCTCATCCTTATTTTATTCTTCTCCTCTTTCTTCCTTATTATCTTCTCCTTTTCGTTTTTTTTTCTTCCTTGCCTTCATTCCCTCGTGGCAGGGGGGTGAGCAGGCCGAAACCCATTTGAAATCCCACACGTACGTAATTTCGTGTCTGATGTTGTCATCCTGCCTTTACAATTCTTTCTTAAAAATAATTTTCAGAGGGCAATTCCAGTTTAGTAAGATACCCACGCCCTTAGAGGCAAGGTTTTACTAGCAGGGACTGATGGTAGTTACAGTTCGAGTGGATAGAGGTTCGGTTGGATAGAGGTTGC